CCCCCCCCCCCCCCCGCCAAAGTTCCGGAGCTGGGGATTTCCACATGCACTTCGGCTTATACACACAAGGGCGGCAAGGGATTTTCCGATATGTGACACCCCTGGCTGGCGGAACAACAGCTGCTTGAAAGACAGGAGCTTGAGATGCGCCCGGGAGTCTCCAGGGGGCGCTGGGCGCACGAGGAAGCGGGCGCATGAGCAGCCCGTCACGTGACCCTCCTGGATCTGATTGTCGTCATCGTGCTCATATGACCTGGATAAACCTTTGTCTTGGAGCCTGGGGTTGGGGTTGTCCCAAATGAGTCACGGCGCGTCTTTGTCCCCTTCTCTTTTATTCTTAAGGAGGGTTTAATTGATTGGTAAGAGGGGCGCTTTTCTTTTCCCCCTCCCTCTTCCAACATTTATGTTTTCATGACCCGGAACAGCATTCACACAAACAGTATATTATTGTGGGGAATTCCCACAGGGAGTGGGTTGAAGGCCTGAGATCTTTCCAGTACCTACATTGGCCAGGGAAGGTAGGATTTGTTGTTTAACAGCATCTGGGCGGCTGCAGGCTTTCTGTTTTGCTAGAGGCTTGCATCTGACAGTGCTTGTACTTCTCATTGCTCTTGGAAACATGAAAATGGAGAGGACAGATAGGGTGACCTACCATCGAGATTCAGAAGCCTGCTGTGTGGGTTCATTATTAAAGTGTAAGAAAGCAGTGTCATAAAGCACTTGGTTGCTTGCTAATTTTTAAATATATACCTTCATTTTTAATTAATTAAAATTGCATTTTTATAAGTTTATGCCTTATAAGTACAGTTAGGAAATATGTAACCCCACCTAGATATGTTTAGTAGTTGGGGGAAGGGCAAGTATAGAGTTCTTGGTCCTCTCTAAGCTTAGTTGTTTGCTTGTAGACGTTTCATTATCCAACTAGGGAACATCAGCGCACATCAGAGAGCACCAAGGACTCCACAGTTCAACTTTGGCTATGGGGAGCATGTTTGGCTTTGGGAGCAATATATTCTCTTCTATTAGAAAGGCAAGTAACTAATTCTCCAATTAAGGGGTAAACAAGGAAAAACAATGCCACTCTGTTTCTGAACTTCAGCAGGATTTTGTTACATTTGTGAGTTGTGGACTAGTTTTCTCCTGTATAAAGCTCTCTGTGCAAAACAGTTCATATATTACAGAGGCTAGGTACTTACAGGTTCTAGTCTATTCTGAGATCATACTGACAGTGGGGGGAGCAGATGCTACCCAGCTTCCCCCTTTATGCACTGACCATTATCTTCAGTAATCAGGACTAAAAATCTATCAGACACACATCACACATGATCTGAAAGCCATCGAGGGTGGACTGGGTGATCTACTGTTTCTAAATATGTTGGAAGTCATGAATTGCTGAGATGATTTCAGCTTATGTTCAAAATATGATTAAAAAGTGTGACCTCTGCTTGGTCATGGAGTACTGATGTGATGGAAAAAGGAACACCCTCAGCATCTTGTATTCTGCGCAACTATTAAGCTTTCTTGAGCTGTATAAGACAGCTTCTTGGCAATAAAACCTTTTACTGTGTTCTGAAACTGAAAGGTTGCAGACTTTATATTAAATGACAGCCCATAATATTGTGAGTAGACTGGATAAAATGCCATTATATTCAATATTCATACAGGTGCATCCTTTTATTTTTTTAGTTTGTGGTTTCATGTGTTAATATAAATTAAATTCAGAAGAAAAAAAGTTGCAGTGGAATGCAAACCCTGTTCCCATAGCAAATATTTATGGAAAATCTGTTATATGAATATGTCCAGTATCTGATCATTAACATTAACCTATGATATAATTTCAAAATACTTAGTTACACACTCTCTGTTCATTGATTCTAGATGATAAAAGGAACAAAGATAGCCAAACTGCCAGTAAGGAAATGATTTAAGGACCTTCCACCCACTTCCATCTCCCTGCTTCCCCAAACGTTATAAAGCAGCTAGGAGCCAGCCTATCTTCACTTCTTCCTTCTGTCTTCACTTCTGTCTGGAGGGCTGAAAGCACCATGATCCAATCAGTGCTCCTTCCAGCTAACTCATAGGAGAGTATAAAAATGTAATTCAATAGCTTATCTTTCAGTCTTGCGAGGTAGTCCAGACAAGAAGTACACCCAGGAGTACTAGCTCTATCTTTATTGTAAGATTACAATAGAACCTTGCAAGTCTGAAAGTACCCCTTCTGTCCCTCCTGAGAACTAGGGAGGGTCCTGTTGCACACGCTGCTCCCAGGTTTGGCTTATGGTCACTCACTCACACACTCACAGCCTGTTGAGGCACGCAGATCTTGTCAGCCCCCCTTGCTTTCTACCTGGTTTTCCAGATGGGTGTGGCTTGAGCAGACAAGACACACAGCCCTGCTCAACAGCTAGGAAATAATTAGGGACACACACACAAATCACTTCCAACTGAACACTGAGGCACAAGAGGTTCAAGAGGTTCTTTGTAATACGTGGAGAAATACACCCAGTGAATTTAAAGTAACAGCAAAGCTTTACTGGTTGCAAGATATATTTGCTCTCGCTCACTCTCTCTCTCTCTCTCACACACACACGCTCATCCACACTTACCCATGTCCTTCCCAACTAGGCTGCCAGGCACTAGCTAGAGGGACAGAAGCCACCAAGTCTGGATCCAAAGATGACTCAGGCGACTCAGAGTTGGCAGGCTTTGGGACCCCTTTTATCCCCAGAAGTCCTTGCTTTGTTGATTCACAAGTCTGGCAGCTGTTGATGGGATTGGGGTGGGGGTTT